AAATTAGGGCCAAAAATCAGGAAATTATCTACGTAAATTATAATAAAAATATTAGATTTTTTATTATAATAAGCTAATTCGTTTGAAATAAATGGATTAAATCCAAGCTTTTTCAGGCTGTTTTTTAGCGTAATTTGCTATTGGCGTGGATTTTGTTTAAGACCGTATAAGGCCTTTTTGAGCTGGATTACCTGGGAGTCTTTTTCGTTGATTTTCTATCCGAAATTATTTAAATCCGGGTTTTCGGATAAGAATTCGGATAATCCGTTTATAGGGGTAATATATATTTTTTCGTATAATTCCCCGTTTAGGAAGGCACCGATTATATTAATTTGTTTGATTTCTTAATCGTAATAGGCTGCTAAGGCTAATAAAAGCTTTTAAATAATAGATTTTATTCCCATAGCGAACGTTTCAAAATAATCGATTTTATATTATTATTCGAATTTACGTATAACTAATTTAGCTTTATATTTATCGATATTTCCGTTTTTATCGGTTTTCCTTTTAAATACCTATTTTACGGATAATGGGATTTTACCGGCTTTTTAGATTTTATTTCGATCAATGGCTTAAAAAGTCCTTTTTAAATTAATTGCCATAATTTAGCGTATATAGCCTGGTTTTATTTTTTTTTAAGGCTTTTTAATGCTTATTTTATTATTTTCGGTTCCGTATAGCCTGAATTTTCGATAATTAAATAATACGAGATATCGGCGAATAATTCGTTATATTTAACGAATTTATTTCGTTCGGAATCCGTAAATTTCGGAAGAATTACTTTAATATTCGATTTATTCGAAGTAATCGAAAAGGTATTATTAATATCTATAGATTCGGAATTTATACTGGATCTATTATTTATATTAGATTCGTTCCCGGGTAAATCCGGTCGATTATTAATTATAGACTTATTCGTAATGGATCGAAGAATTCAATCGTTTCCGGGAGGTGGATTTAGTGGATCCACCGTTTTCGGGACTATTAATTAGATAAATTCACCGTCGGTAGAATTTTTATCCGGTGTTATTTCCTAATCCGGTAATTCCGAATCCGGTAATTTCTCCCCTTTTTTTCGATTTTTAGGTAATAATCGAATATAAAAGGTCCGTATAATTTATGATTTATACGGTCGATCGGGAAAATATACGTAATAAATTTTATTACCGTTATATTTAATTATTTTCCTATTTTCGGTAGTAATTCCGAATTTATCGGAATTTTTACGGATTTTTTTCGGTTTATAAACTAAAACCGGTATTCCTAAGGCATAAATTTAGGATAAATTAGGCGTATTATTCCGTTTTAGCCAAAAATAATCGTAAAATTCCTAATAAAAAATAAATAAACCGGATGCCGTAATAATAAAATTTATTAAATAAACTACTGCTTTTATAACGAATTCCTAAAGGTTTTTCGGGAGTTATAAATCAATAAAAACCATTTTAGTTTTTTCGATAATAATCCGGTTCGTACGTTCGGCTATACCGTTTTATTTTAATATATAATAGGTTATAGGTTCGAAAATAATCCTTTTTTCGGTTAAATAATTTTTTAATTTAACCGGGGAAAACTTTTTATTATTATTTATACGAATAATATTCGGATATTTTCCGAATTAGGTTTTATAATATTCGATTTTATTTATTATAATATCGAATATATCGGATTTTTTTTTTAGAAAATTTAATTTTCCGAAATCCGGTTTTATTATCCGTAAAATTAGTTATATATTTATAACCGGAATAATTAAAAGGGGTAATATAAACCGTATTAATATAAATACGATATAACGGTTTATTAACCTTATTTAGATTTATATAAAGTTAGTTTCGGGTAAATTTACCCGAAATATAGGATTTATAGTTTAAATCCTTTTTTTTTAATTTTTTTTTAGGAATCCCCGTAGTTATTTTAGCTATTTTAGCTAAAATATCGTAACTAAGGTAGCTAAGTCGTTTATGCTATTTTTCCGTAGCTATAAAAAAATTCGAATAATTCGAAATTAATTCGATTTCTTCGAAATCCGTGGTTTCGTTAGATTTCGTATCCGAATTCGGTTCCGGGTAATTTAAACCGATTATACGGGCTTTTTTTATTACTTTTAGTGGATTTATAGCTAAATATATTATATTAGGCTTTGATTTATTAGTTAGGTATAAGAAAAATCTACGTTTTTTTTAATTTAACGTAGCAAAAGGCCTATTTTTAGAATTATATAATTTATTTTCGTTTATAATATTGTTTTTTTAATAATATAGTTAGCCGGATATAATATTTAGCGGAAATTCTGGTATATAAAGTACGTTTAATAACGTTATTTTACGTATTTTCCGGTTAATTTTAAAGGAAAGCGTAATATTTTTAATTCCTTTTAGAAATATTTTTCTACTATTTGTAATAATCGGTAAAAAATCCGATTTTATAGTAAAATTATCGAATAAATTCTTATTATTCGATATATATTTTAAAGAATTTATATTGTATAATTATTAGTTTTTAGGGAAGGTAGTTAATTTTTTTTTTTTAAATTATTCGAAATATTCGAAAAAGCATAAAACGATTCGTTTTCGTCTAAATCTTCGTTACGGGGTAAATTTCCCCGTTTTTTAGATTTTTGGTTCGTAGTGGATATAGTCGAATTTGAGTTATTCGATTTATTCGAATTATTCGAATTATTGGAATTATTCGAATTATTCGATTTCTTCCTTTTATTCGATTTATTCGAATTCTTCCTATTTCCGTTTTAGGTTCCTTGTTAATTCTAATTGGATTAGGGGAACCGGGATTTTTTATTATCCGTATAATAAAAATTTCCTATAGCCGTATCCGGATCCCGTCGGTTTTTATCCAAAATATCCGTAATTAACCTTTCGAAGGTAGGTGGATTTATAGATCGTAAAGCACTGCGTTAACGGTTAGCCCATATAGGGTAAGTTAATTGGAGGGCTATAATAAAAATCGTTTTTTAATCGATATTATCGATTTTAGCCCTAACGCTTAAAAGCTTTAAAATATATCCTTTAAAAATGGATATAAATTCGTTTAACGAGTTATAATTTTCGAATTTAATCGTATAAAATTCGAGATATAATTACTAACGTAGTATGGGTCCGGTGCCTTAATAAGCTAATTATAAAATCGATAAGGTTTTATATAGATTTATTTTATCGAATATTAGATTTAACGGTTTTGTTATTAAATTTTAACGAATTAAAAGCAATGCCTAGGCTTTTTAAATATCGGTTATACCGTTATATATATCGGTAGTTTTAAAAAACCGATTGATTTTTAGCAGTTTAAAATATAATTATAACGTAAATTTTTACGTATTCTAGTTTCCGGATCCGGAAAGTTTCTGTTTCTCCGGCATTTAGCATCCGGTAATAGTACGGATAGAGTTATCTATTTTGCCGAATTTTTGCCGTTATAACGGTATAATTATCGTTAAAAACGGTAAAAAAATCGTTAAGAAAATAAAAAGAAATTAATTCTTTTATTTTATCGATAAAGTGTATAAAGGGATCTAGGTGTTATAATATAATATAGCAGGTGCTATAGGGTGTTATAATAGATTGGCTATTATAGTGGGGATTAGTTATAAATGACTTTATAACCGTTATATGGCTGTAATGGGTAAAATTACTATAATTAGCTATTTAACTATAGTTTTCGATATAATTACGGCTTATATAGGCTTATATAAAGGCCTATAAGGGATCGGCTATTATAACGGAATTCTAGAGTCTATGTTGAATTAACTCGTTTGGGAGAGCGGCTATAGTTTTCGATATGATTTAAGTCCGGTATTTAGATATAATCGATATTATACTGGACCGGGCTTATAACCTGTTTTAAGGTATAATTGGTGGATTATAAGCTTAGGCATAGGGAAGCGTTTATATAATTCGTAAAATCAGGCCGTAAAGGGTAGTTATAAGGCTATATAACTGATTTATTAAAGCTTAAGGAAAGAATAATTAATTATAAAGGAATAACTACTTTTTATACCTATAAAATCAACCGTAAAGAATATTTTGGAATATATTACTAATAATTGGATTATAAATTAAGTTAATTAGTAATAAGGTTAATTTATAATCGAAGAAACTATCGAAATTTATGGATTTTTATGGTGTGGGTTACCCTGTAACCCTGGGACTATTGTGGCCAGGTGCACTAGCCATATTTAGTGGGGCTGGATCCAGTAGAACGTTCCACTAAATTCCAGTGGGTTCCAGTGGCTATAGTGGCTATAATAGTTAATTGTAATAATTTATTAACTATATAGCATTATAAATAGTAGCTGTAAGTAGTATTGTATTAACTATAAGTTAGTATAGGGTAAATTCTACTGATTTCCTATATATCGTTATTTAACGATATCTCGATGGGTTTTATAGCTATTATAACGATATGATATGCGTTATAAAGCTAATTTTATGTATTATACGATGCTGTATTAACATCCGTGCAATATTAATTAAATTTAAAAAAATCTAATTAATATTAAGGTAAACGCGCGCGTATCGCGATAAAATTTAATAGCGATACAGGCTTCGGTTATTACCGCGATATAAATAAAAGCTTAAAAAAAATATAATTTAATATTTACGGTTTATAGCTAAAAAAAAAAAGCCGTTATAATTTAATAAATAAAATTTTTAGGTTATAGCGGTAATACAAAAAAAAAAAAAATTTCCGAAATTTATAGGTAGGATAGGCAGATGTCGGGCAGGCGTAAGCGTATTTGCCGCTAAACCCAAAAGCATTTTGTTACAAACTGAGCTCTGAACCGTCGTATATAGCACTAAAATACTACCATGTCCCACTCTTTTTTTTTGCAGCACCAATACGGAAGACGGTACTGCCGAGTAGTAGTGCGTGTTTCTGGGCGTCGGGCCTCTCGCTGAAACTTTGTCTCCCCCTTGTTCTCTTTTCCACATGTTCAAACTCCTCTCACTGAGAAAGTATATTCTGCCCATTCAAGAGCCATCAAGATGGCATCGACAAAGTGGGCGCTGGATTACCCCGGAATCAGTGTCGCGGTTGTCTTTTCTTCCTTGATCCTTGGCCTCCTGCTCATCAGAACCCTCTCTGCTTCTAGCCCCCCAAGCCCGCCAGAGCCTCCCCTGCTAAAGCCTCCACATCCCATCTTTGGCCACCTCCCGGGTCTTTTGCGCCATGGCATGCTCTACATGGACGTGCTGGCGAGGCAGTACCACGAGCAATTCCCTGAAGGCATCTTTACCGTCTCCTTATTCGGAAAGCACATCTACATTGTGATGACCCCGGGGCTCTTGGCACATACTCAGAACAAGTCCCGCCTCGTGTCTGGATGGGAGGTGTTGGCGACTGTTACTGCAAGTTTCACCGGTAGGGGGAGAAAGTACTACGACCGCTTGGTCAAGAACAGCCAGAGTCGCAAAATTCCCAATTATCACTCCGAGAACCATAAACTCATCTATGGTTCGTTAAACCCTGGTAAAGAATTGGATCGCATGCGTGTCGCTTTTGTCGACACCTATGTCTCTTTTATCCCTCCACTAGAGACGATTGTGGACAAGTCTGGCAGCTACACTTTTGATTTCTACGAATGGCTACGGGAGTCTTTCACCAACGCGTCGGCGAGGCTGGCTTGGGGCAAAGACAACCCGTTCAGCCGCGACCCGACTCTCTGGAAGGCATTTACCGAGTTTGACGACAATGCCGGTTTGCTCATGACCAGGCCCTTGCCGCGCATACTTGTAAGAAAGGGCTATCTTGCACGTGAAAGGGCAATTGGGCAAATCCGCGACTTCATGGCCGAAAGTGATGAGGCCAAGATTCAAGGTTTCGGGCCTCTCATGCGACACACGTCCCATGTTCTGTCCAAGTGGGGTTTCACAGCAGATGAGTTGGCTTCCAACAACCTGGGCATGATTATTGGGCTGGCTAGTAACACGGCGCCGGCCGCAGCCAATACGCTGATTGCCATTGTTCGCGATCCGTCGCTGCTGTCTTCTGTTCGGGCCGAGCTGGATGCGCTCGTGCAGCGCAGCGCCGATGGCACGACGGCCACTTTTGACGCTGCCGATATTCGTTCTCACTGCCCTCTCTTTGTCTCGGCAGCCTACGAGACGATGCGTCTTACATCTTCGGGATCAACAGCGAGGGTTATTGCGCATGACCCCGACAATGTGTCTTCTTCTCCCGGCAAATATCACATTCTCACGTCGCCTGACAAGTCCACTTCTTGGAGTCTCAAAAAGGGCGAAATGATGTTTATGGCCGGAGGTCTGATCCATGGAAACTCGGCACACTATGCCAACCCCACGACTTTTGATGCGACGAGGTACCTCGAGCACTCCATCCCCGAGACCCAGATTCCCGGCCTATTTCGTAGTTTTGGGGGCGGTGCATCAATCTGCGGAGGGAGATATCTTGCCGTTGCCGAGATCCTGGCTGTTGTGTCTTCGATTATCTTACGATTCGATATCGAAAAGGATGGAGGCAGTGGAGGGTGGCAATTGCCAGATAGGCGCGACTGTCCTTCGCATGCTGCTGTAACACCCCCTCCAGGCGGCAAAATGCCAATGACAATCCGGAGGAGAGCAGGTTGGGAGGGAGTCAGATGGATCAATAGCCATATGAAGGATACATAATAGTTTCAGACTAAAGTCAATTCAATACCGGTATTATACAATTGCTTGTTGCATATCTGCGACATGGCGCCGCTTCTCGAGTCATATCGTCCACAATGATGTGCTACGAAAGAAAGTAGTACATCAAGAGTATGTATCCGAAGCGATTAGCAGCATCGTTTTGGAAAAAGAGCATGATAAGCTGTATAGTGACCTGACGTTATGCGATATACGCATTGATCGTCCAAAGGGTAGGCACTGCCCAATAGTGAAATTAAAGTAGCTCGCTCCAAAGTCTATCCATCTATCTACGCAGTCTTGTTCTCGTATCTACATTTAGTCTAATCTAGAAATATGCAACAAAAGGAAAGGAGAATAAAGAATGTGTCTATCGGGAGAAGGCTGATCGAATCTCGGCATCCTCGTCCTCGAGCTCTGCCAATTTTTTGCCAGGCAGTCTCACTGCACGGTCCAGCGCAACCGGCAAACCTCTATGCCTTCCTCGCAGCATGACGAGGATCATGATGATTTTGCTGCCTGTATACATGCCGCCGGTAAGACTGTAACTCTGGTCCGGAAGACCGATGCTGATGCCAATATTGGTGTAGCCCGAGACAATCTCAAAGAGGATACTAAAGACGCTAAAGGTGACGGGATCCTCGATCGAGTGTCGCGTTTCAATGAGCGTCACGAGGAACAAGGCCAGAGCGACCCACCACACATCGTGACTGAGCTGGCCCCGGACTTGCTGCGACACCAGGCTCGGAGGGCCTGTGGGCGTGTGGTTGTGGAGGGAGTGCACGGACGGAGGCCGGGCAAAGTCCATGGTGGCGGCGCGGCGGAGGGGCTTCGGTCCGCCCAAACCCGCCCCAAATCCGCCGGGGCCGCCTTCGGGCGCTGTGCCGTGTGCGACACCGACGCCTTGAAACGCCGTCATGCGGCGCTGCAGCTGTCGGCCCATAAAGGCTGTACCGCGACGGCCGACTGTGTAGATGCGCTTGACGGATCGCGCAGAGGGCGTCTGCGAGGTGGCGTCCCAGTTCTTCCGGCTCAGGTTACCGTTGGCATCAAAAGCGGTAGGCAAGCCCGCCGCAAGGGGGTCATTATTTCCGGCGTCGGCATCCACGTCAAAGAGACTGCTAGTCTCGGAATGGAGCTGCTCAATTTCGGTCTGATCTCCTTCGTAGATGCCCAGGGAGCGTTCTTCGTACACATTGGTCTTGCGCATGGTGATAATGTGCGGGTAAGCGGCTGTGTAAAAGATGATGAGCCAGAGCACATGCACGTCAAAGTACATGGCTGATGGGGAGACGATGGCGTAACCTCCAGAAGGGATTGCTGCAAGAGGGTTAGAGCGTCGAAAAAATGTGGCTGAGACTTGTAATGATAAGACTGGGGCGAAACTTACAGAATCCTTCAAAAAGGGCATCAAAGATACGCTGTCCAACTGGAATAGCATCCATTGTCGAATTGCCCGTGGTGAGTACGAGAATCAGAACCCAATCAGCCAGCACAAAGCCACCAAATGTGGCAACAAACATCCACGTGTCTCGCGAGGGGAACAAGCTTGTATAGACACGACGTGGGAATCTGAGGATAAAGTCAAACCCCTCTTTCCAGGCAGTGTAGCCCTCCTTGTCCCGCGAGAATAAATGAAACACCTTTGACATGCACCAGATCAACAGACGCATAAATACAGGAAATGCGGCAGGGCCGGCGAGCGAGAGAATGGTAACAATGGTGAGTAGAAAGTAGGAGCCTTGAAAGGGGATGAAGCCTGCATCGAGCAGGGTGAATCCGGCATTGTTGTAGGCTGAAATAGCGAGAAAGATGCCTGCCCACCACGGATTCTGCGCATTGACTGCTGACTCGTCGACGGCGTAGACGGACATCCAGGCGCCCAGGGCGATGGCGCCAAAGAGCTGCCACAGAACGAAATAAACAATGACAAAGGCCGAGAGAAACTTGAGAGCCCGGTATTCCACACCACCGAGATACTCGCGTTGGTCTTCAGACAGGTTGAAAAATTGCCCATTGCGTCCAATGTTTCCCTTTTGCTCCTTGAGAAATGTCTGGACGTTGAAGCCACCCTCGGATGTCCGTGATTCAGTCGTCTGTGGCCTTCGTCGCGTAGTCTTTTCGCTTTGGCGAGAGTGCGTCTGATAAATTGAATGTCCAGTTGTCGCAGATTGGGGCCTGGTTTCATGGATCGGTTCAAGGAACCCGACATGCTGCGGTTGCGAGGGGCGTCGCTCGCCGCCTCCCAATATTCCTGTTGCCGAATTGGTCTGACCCTGAGAATACAAAGCTGCCGGTTCTTCAGGGCCAAGTTCCAAACTTGTATTCTGGTCACTGCGATCACTTTTGCGCTTCGAGGGCCATGGTTTACTGCTCTTGCCTTGCTTTGGGGGCTGGCCTTTGCCAAACGACGACATGACCTGCAGACCAATCATGGCACCTGTCATGCCGACAACAGCACCAGTCTTCGAGGCGGTAGCCTTGCGCTTGGCCCGCTCCCTCTCCACAATATCCTCAAATCGCTTCTCGAAAATGCGTTGGCGAAACGCAATGGTAAAGTATGAGATAATGACCTGAGACCCCATAATCATGTACACGCACAGCTGGACCTGCTGGAAAGTGGTGAGCTGGCTGAGATTGACCGTGTTGAGGCCCGAGGCCGTCAAGGCAGACATGACCATGAACAGACTGTCCCACCAGCCAATGCTGTATTGAGGGGCCGAGGAGCCCCAGAAGATGAGGGACCCGATGATGGCGGTGATGATAAAGTAGGCATAGTGCAGGGTGATGAAATTGACGGGTGGTAGATAAGGCCGGACCACTGCCCATCGCCTCGCCCACGTTTCGCACAGCTCTGCATGCTGCTCGCGAAAGTCGAGCCACCTCTTCTTGAGACCCATTCTCGTAGGAGCCCAGAGGATCGGAGCAACCACACCGGCACTTGACCGCCACGGCAAACACGGCTTGTTCAGCCTAAGGGGTGGAACGGATCGACCCGTCGCGACGATTTGCGGGAGCTAAATCCAATAGCCGGTGCAGTGGAACAGGGATGCGCCTTGCTTTACTGGTAGGGCTGAAGGCGCCACAGGGTCCGTTTGTCAATTTCGAGTGTCTAGTCGCGCGTCCGGCGGGCGACTCACTCACTAAAGAGTGTGTTGTTGCAGTCGGTCGTGCAAATAGAGAATAGAATGACTGACGATGGGTTTGATTGATGAACGGCGAGCTGTTCTGGAAGAAGAAGGGAAAGCGCGCGAAACCCCTTTTCGATGTGTTGTCTGGTCTGTCTCCACCGCACGGGATATGGGGCGCCCAAAACACACGTAGCAAGAGTCTTGGCAAATTCCTCGTTGTCCCTGTAATCCATTGGAACATGGAATCTGGAAGTCGGTGCACCTATCGGCAAAGCGGGTCCAGCTTGATGAAACTTTCTGTCAAATAGTGGTAGTACAACCACGACCGTTCGTCCAATTAATCATGACCGTTTTGAAATCAATTAAGCTTAAAACGCCTAGGTCGGTTGGGCAGAAGAAGATTTCTCTAAGACATGCTACTACTGTGTACGTATTGACAGGGCTCGTCCCTAGCTCTACTGGACATGGCGTTGCTATGATCCCTGTCTCAACGACGCCAGAGATGGTTTACGCGGCAGGTATTCGACAGACTCCAAGTCTATCGAATCGGGCGCCGGAGTGCGTGTATGTTCGAGATTCGGCATCACTGTGGCTTCTCTGGTGTCTCTGGTCGCTCGAATAGAGCGATCTTTTGGAGAAAACCTGCGAAAAGAGTCTCTTGCCCGGTGAATGAGCTGGAGAACGCCAGTGGCGGAGCAGCAAATGATTGCTATCAGCGGCCCCACTATGGATAAAAGTCCGATATAACCCTCGTCGTAGGTGAAGTCCTGCGAGTTTACCTTATTCAAGGCGGCGATTCGGAGTCCTGCAATGATGAAAACTCTATCATGGTCATAATCAGTATCATCATGGCCATGGTCAATCAGAGCTTGTACTCTGCAAGACATCCACTCACAGGCTTCCCAAGGAGAAGATGAAGATGAGCCCGAGCTTCTTTGCAGGGGAGATCCGCAGGTGATATATCATGGGCAGCGGCCAGACCGTGATAACAAGGTCGATGATGAGACCACCAATCTCTAGTCCGAGAAATGCAGCCTTCTGATTCCCGCATCGGCCAGAAATGGTGCCGTCCCAGCTAGCACGAATAGGTGTACAGATAGCCAATGGTGTAATAATGACGGCAACTCCATAAGCAATACTAGAAGCCGTGCAGAGCAGCATCACCCAGGAAAACGAGTGTGGGTCCCGGAAGATTCGATCAATGAACCCAATTGTTCCTAAACGCATGAACGTGTTGACAATGCCCCATGTAACTTCATTGATTAAGAGTGACTGATAGATTTATCTGTCAGTACAAGCCAGGGAATGGTAATCGAGAGCTGGATGTACCTTCGCGGCATTCTGGAACTGCGAATTGGATTCACTGGACATGTGCCGACCTTGTCCTTGTGTTGTGACAGCCCAGGTTGTCAGGATCATCAAGGCAAAGGAAAAGGCGAATGAAATATGCAGCAAGTAATCATAATATTCGAGGCTTCTTCCATGTATATACCGAGACCATAACTGCAGTATGGTGGCTAGCAGGGCCAGTGCTATAAAGGTCCAGCCCACCACAATTGTGGCAAGCCCGAGCGACGTCGTTTCGAGTGCACCCATCGCAAGAAACCATAAAGGCGCCGGTCATCAAATCGGTATGTCGCACATGAGCGTGATATCTCTTAATTCTCCGTGTGCTGGCACTTGAAGCAATTTTATACATGCAAATCAAGTCAGCCTTACCACCAGCATTGTTGCTCTGAATATCGAAGCCCTCTACACTGCCTCCATTTACATGCAGCTTGATGCGTGTTGATTGGACCAGGGGCGTTTCGCGACGCGCCAATGTCCAATATATGCAGACGCCATCAGATCGAGGCTGTCGATTCGCCAATCTTCTCGACCCTTGTGGTTCTGCTTTTACGCCCAGGTAATCAGGCAATGTAACCATAGATCACTTCCACAAAATTTTCTCCACTAAAACGTGCGAGCACAGCCTGCAGGCATATTACCGGAACCGTCGCCGTGTACAGGATATTGACGTACGAAGAAGAAGCACCGACTGGCGAGAATCCCTGGCTGGAAAGGAACAGCCGTGATACAGGACTTTTTAACCGATTGATTAACAGAAATTATTGAGTCAATATGCATCACTAGCAACCATGGCGACTTTGTCCAAGATCATGACCGGCCTCTTGGTCGAACGGCTCAACCAAAATTCTTGAGAGGTATTATACAATATGAGACATTGTTATATATCAAAAGCATACGAAAGTCATCACAAGTAGTATATACCAAGATATATAGTTAGCAAACGTTAATAATACGAAAAGCAAGATAATGTTTAACCCAACAATGGATAGCAAGATATACAGAGCCATCTTGGATTTGAATAGTCGAAGAGTAAGAGATATATTAGGAAAGTTGTGTGAAAAAATTCTGCAAAAGTCCTGCCGCAGTCTTGCCTTTGCTAGCATTTTACAATACTTGTCATGGGCAATCAACCCCATTTGTATCCTTCTAGAAGGCTGGTTCGTCGACGATGCTGATAGACATCCGTCTGCCCTTGCTTGGCATGATCCGCAAGAAGTCGCGTAGGCACATCATTTCCTTAGAATTTGGTTTGAATGGTGTCGATTACGATGTTTTGATCCTCCGATATACTGTATTCTCATGCACGCTGCGAATCTCCAACGAGCCAACCAAATCTCTGACTCCCACAAAACCCCAGCTTCAAGCACGCCAAGGCGCAACGGGACCGAATGCAACAGGGCAACAAGCAAGATAAAACGATTCTCTCTTGTGGGATTATGCACTGAATAAGTGCCCAAATTGAAGTAGTAAGCTTTTAGGTCTGGGGAACAGAAAATGCCCGTCCCAAATTCCCACAAAACGCGCCAAGGGCCACCAGTAAGCATGCGGGGACCAAGCCGCTTCGGCACGATTACCGCGTTCCTATAGGATTTCAGTACGTAGGGACCGAAGTTCTAATGTTTACATCGCTTCTTTGCTACTTTCTCGGAACCTGAAGTGGCTAGTTTGGCTTATCTGCATGCGGCCTTGGTATTATATGCGCCTAGACTGACTGCAGTCTCACATCGCGCCACGTTCAAGGTTGAACAGCCCAGACTGACTCCTATACACTTCACATTACAGTAAATTCTCACCGTCGCTCAATGCAGCCAAGCTTGATTGGCTCAATGCAGCAATTTCGAGAGTCGAGAAGCTCGAGTCCTGAATAGCAATCGTCGAAAAATGTGTATTCCTGTATGATTGTGTCTTTGAATAGCAAGTTGATTGTATACGACCTGCTCTGTTTCATGCAGTACAAATATGATGCCCGATTCGCATAGTATGAAGCCCGTTTCGTATAATATCACACCTGACTCGCACAACGTGATGCCCGATTCGCATCTGTAAAGTATCATATCAGTCCAGTCACTTAAAATTCCCTTTTTTTCGCCTTCTCTATGGTGCGACACTACATTCAATAGCCACTTTTGGATCATAGCATTTTTAATACTTGGAAAACATGGCGACACAACAGACAGCAACTTGGGAAGGACATTACTTTGCTTTCAACGAAAAGCAATCCGATGTCCTAGGTCAGCTGTCCACTCGTTTGGGTGTGCAGGCATCCCTTTTGTCGGCACTTCGCATCTTGCACTATCGACTTACCGCTTCAGAAGCGGTATATTTGCCAGTCAAACAGCACAATGCAGACGGCACAGCATCTGAATCCTTTCTCTCCAACGACATTGACGGGAACTCGAAGATAGCCGATGTTCTTGAACATGCCCAAAACGCCCTGGTGTCTGCGAAAGAGCGGGGACTGAAGCAGGATGGCCATGACATTCCCGTTACTACTAGTTTCTGCTTTGAGCACTGGGACGAGGACGAGGGTTACAGCGGTGATGCATCTCCCGAGACGTACGATGCCATCACATTATGTCATCTCACCGGGTATAAGCTAACCAGTTGATAGTCCCATGGACGCCACCGGTTCTTGGCAATTCCGTGGCACGAGTGGATGCTGTATCGTTTACAGTCCATCACGACAAAGCCAGCGGGCCGTCGAGTCGCTAGCATTGGACTATGCTGATATACTGGACGCAGTTCTCTTTGACCAAGATAAGATGATCTGCAAGGTATCGTTTCACGGCGTTGTTGATCGCCTGCAGCCCCTGGGAGCACTTCGAGCACCCAAGGCTGATCCCGTCCCCGAGAATCTGATTGCCGGTCTCCAGGACAGCGTTACTCGACACGGGACAGCAGCTGCACTTGTCGACAAGGAAGTTTCCCTGACATATGAAGAGCTCGATGACTTTTCATCTTTCTTGGCTGCCGACATTCTATCGCGGCGTGGGGAAGAGCATTCCTCGGATCGCTTCATGGCTCTATGCATTCGCCCGAGCGCATTAGCTATTGCGGCAATTGTTGCAATCCTCAAGACAGGATGTGCCTACGTTCCTCTTGACGTTCGACAGGCGTCCGAACGCACAGTTGGTCTTTTGGAAACAGCGGAAAATCCATGTGTTTTGGTAACCAAGGATTCTCCCCAATTCCTCCTCCAAGAAGGTTTTCCGGCCCCTGTACTCGACATTACATGCTCGCTGGAGAAATGGAGAACATCTGACCGAGCCCATCGTGCCCAATTTGTTGTGGCTTCCCCGAGCGTCAATGATATCGCATGTCTGCTGTTCACTTCGGGGACCACTGGCAGACCCAAGGCTGTGAGGATCCAGCACAAGAACATCCTGTCACTAGCCACCAACGGTAGTATCCTCCCCATCTACCATGGCGACAATGTTTCCCAGATGACCAATCTGGCATGGGATGTTCACATGTCCGAGATCTGGGTAACTTTTATCCGAGGCGCTACATTGTACAGCTTCGATCAAGCCGAAGTGCTCGATCCCGTGGCACTGACAGAGCGTGTCCGTGATTGCAAGATCACAACGACCATTCTTCCGAATGCGCTGGTCCGCCACGTTCTTAACGAGAAGCCCGAGTTTTTCCAGCACATTCAGCACATACTCATGGGCGGAGAGATGGCCAGATTCGAGCAGTTCAATAAGATCAGGGCACAAAATCCCAACATCAGTATGATCAACGCTTACGGTCCGACCGAGTGCTGTGTTGTGGTCACCGCGAATCACATTTTGCCTTCTCACGATATACCTACCGAGGGCAATATCCCAATAGGAGGCGCTCTCGACTCGATGCAGCTCATCATTCTGGATGACCAGGATCGCCTGGTGCCACCTGGAGTGGTTGGCAACATTTTTATCCGCGGCCAAGGCGTTGCAGATGGCTACCATAAATTAGATACCGCCAGTGATGCAGCTTTTGTTCACAAGACACTTCTCGATATCTCTGATCACCCAATCAGATTATATAACTCGGTAGGTTGATATCTCATTCACGCTTCTCGTCACCACCAACTAACAAGCTCAAAAGGGTGACAGAGGACGCTGGAACTGGGACGGACAGATTGAGTTCCTGGGACGCAGCAACGCCGACCAGATCAAAGTCCAAGGTCAACGCCTTGAGCTGCCTGATGTTGAGGCCAACATAACACGTGTTCTCGGAGTGCAAGACGTCGGAGTGGCGTATCACAAGCCCGCGGGCGGGCAAGACGGCATTCTAACGGCGTACCTGGTTCCTGACCGAGACTCCGAGCAAGGCGCTGTCGAACTTACATCGGCAGCCCTTACCGTCGCCTCTGTTGATGAAGACCCGAGCATGTCCCGCGCACAGCTAGATGAGAAGTCTTGGAAATCCGTCCTGGATCTATTACAGTCAGCAATGCCTACTTACATGATACCCGAAGCATTCTATCTAGTCCAGCGGGTCCCAGTGACCTTGAACGGAAAGGTGGATCGTAGAGCGTTGGCAAGCATGGCGAATGTTGATCAGCAGGCAAGAAAGAACTCCCAGGCCATCGTCCACGGTGCCGACACCGACGCTGAAGGCATCGTGTGCCAGCTGTTTGCGTCCATCCTCGGCGGCGGCGTTGCCATCTCTCCCGACACCAACTTTATGCAGCACGGCGGCAACAGTCTCATGACGACGAAGCTGCGTCATGCGCTACGTGCCCGCTTTGGCGTGACTATCCCAATTGGGAAGATTCTTGAAGCACCGACGCCGCGAGAATTAGCCCGAAAGATCAGTCAGTCTCGTCCGGAAACCGAAAAGCCCTCAATACTCGGCCAGGGGTCGCTAGATGCAGGTGAAGCTTCCGAATTGTCCTTTGCCCAGCACCGAATGTGGTTCCTGGCCCAGCTACACCCCGAGGCTCGCTGGTATCATTGCGAGGTCATGCTCGTCACCAAGTCTCGATTGAACGAAGACATACTAGACCAGACCTTTGCCGACATCTTTTCCCGGCATGATATCTTGCGCACTGTATATTTCGAGGACAATGGCGTACCGAAAAGCAGAGTCACCAACCATACTGCTTCTCTGAGGAAAGTCGATGTCGAAGGCTCCTTTGAAGATGTGCGACAGGTCTGTCATGAGGACTTTATTGCACCTTACGACTTCACGAGCTCTCCTCCCGTCAGAGCCCTCTTGGTTCGATGGGGCGACAGGCATGTTGTGATGGTTTCGATGCACCATATCGTACACGATGGTTACTCTCACAACATCTGGAACCAGGAGTTGATGCAGGTATACAACAGCCTCCACTCTGGCAAATCGTCGCCGCTGGCCCGGCCACTTGTCCAGTATCGAGACTATGCCAAGTGGCAACACTCCAGTGAATACAAAAGCCTGGTTGACTCGCAGCTCGAATACTGGATCCCTCATCTTCAAGGAGCGCAGCCCGCGCGATTTGAACCAGACTTTACTGAGCTCCCAGAGGGTGCCGATCTCGGTGAGGCTGGCAGCATTGTTCTGCACTGCGGTCAAGAACGCAGAGCCAAGCTGGATGCCGTGAAGAAATCACTGGGGTCAACGTGGTTTATGTTGCTGTTTGCGGCTTTCAGAGCTGTTCAATTCGAGGTGACGGGGCAGGAAGATGGCATGATTGGCTTCCCCATTGCCAATCGCCACAAGCCCGAGCTGGTTTCCCTACTGGGATTCTTTGTGAACACGCAGATCCTTCGCCTCAAATGCGCAGTCGGCACCCCATTTTCCGAGCTCGTGCGACAGGCACGAGATCTCTCGATCAAGGCCTTTGATAACCAAGACGTTTCATTCGATACGCTGGTCAGCATGCTGCGGCCCAACCGCAGCCCCACGCAGAACCCATTGACTGAAATCATGTTTGCTTATCAAACCATTGAAGAGGGCAAAATCATGATGGGAGACACGGTTGCCGAAAATGGATTCCTCAGAGCAAAGCTATCGCGATTCGATCTTGAAGTTCAGTGGTATGAGGAGCCCGATGACCTCCGCCTCGAGCTTGTCTACCGAGCCAATGTCTTCAAGTCTTCCACTTTTGAAACAATTGGACAAAAGATGTTCGAGTTCCTTGATGCCATAATCATCAATCCCAATCTAGAGCTGGCCACTTCGCGCCCAGAGGTAAGTGAGATCCATTAATAAAAGAAGTTCACGCTAACATTTCGCAAGAATTTGCTGGCGAGTCGCCAATCACCAGCCAAAGCATACTGGGATCGTACCCTCGATGGATTCAATAGCATCAAACTGGCTTTGAGCTCCACACGCCCTGAGAAGCTTGACACAAAGGCACAGAGCTTCGACCTCGAGCTGCCAAGCAGCATTACTCACACGGTTGAGACTGTTGCTGAAGCACTCGGTATCTCAACGGCAGCTTTGTACACTACTGCATACCTCTTGACAATGGGAATCTACTCGGACCAAGACGATCTTATCATTGGCATCCCAAACCTCGGACAAGATCAAGACTCGACAGTCTCTAAAGTACTTCCCTTACGAGTCTTCTTTGGGTGGAACGACTCGCAGCTGAGTCTCGTCCAAAAGGTCCACGACAGCATTGCTGGCGCTATTGAGCATAGCCAGATTTCCTTCCAAGGCTTGTGCGAAGCGGCTGAGGCTGAGGGGGCCTCAAATCGACATGCTCTATTTCAACACGTCTTCAGCCATGACGGTGACACCCATGAGAAGACTTCAGAGTTTCTGCGCAGCAATTGCGCGAACGCCTGTCACGCATTCGATCTTGCTGCCTCTATCAAACGACAAGACAGCCAGGCATACATAAGCTTTGCGTACCAAGCGTCCTTGTTCTCTGAAGATGCAATCGTTGGAATGACGAGCACTTATGCTCGAGTCTTGAGCCAACTAGTTGATCAGACACGCTTCGACAAGGAACTATGTAGCCTGGTGCTGTCTGACGGTGATCCTGGTATTCGCTCCGATTCAAGTGCGGAGTCTCTTATCGAGCTATTCGAGTTCTTTGCCAAGTCACGTAGCTCAACTACTGCCGTCGTCTGCGGTGATGAGTCTCTGACATTTGAGCAGCTCGATAGACGAGCGACCCGCCTGGCCAGCTATATGAAGGCCAATGGCTTGGGCAAAGGACATTTCATGGCCCTGATGGTGTCACCGACGCTTGACATGATTGTCTGCATTTTGGCAGCTTGGAAGGTCGGTGCGGCCTATATCCCCGTCTCGCCGAAATGGCCCGGCTTGCGGGTAAAGCATATTCTCAAGGATTCATCGGCGACGCACTTTGTCACCACGCGAGAGCATGCTGCAGGAAAGCTCGAAGATGAAATCCCAGCTGTTAGCATGGTCTATCTCGATGATCCCAATTTTGAAGTTTTGCTAGAGGCCGCGCCATCTGACTTTTCGACGACATTTGTGTCCAGTGACTCCATCTCTCATTGTTTCTACACTTCGGGGACCACTGGCGTGCCCAAGGGCGTGTTGCTTCGGCACCGTGGAGTGCTGAATCTTCGGCGAGATCTGCAGCCACGTTACTTTGGAGGCTCAGATATGATCCAGAAAGTGACAATGATGTCGGACTTTGTTTTCGACTTTTCTATGGAGCAATTCGCGCTCGCATTTCTCTCGGGTAACACCCTCGTCATGTTGCCTGATGGCCCGACAGGAGACGACAAATTTTACAAATACTTGAGTGGCCAGAAGATCACTTACATGAGCGGAACTCCATCAGTCCTTTCTCGACTCGACCTTTCCAAACTTAGCGACTTGCGCATGATGACAGTTTCTGGAGAAATGTTTCTTCCAAACCATTTCGAACGCATCAGGACAGGATTTCACGGCCCCATCAACAACTCATCAGCACCAACGGAGTGTTCCATCTACAACCTACTTCATCGGTTTGAGGCTGACGATCCTTTCATCAACTGTCTTGGGCGTCCAATTGCTAACCACCAGGTCTATCTGCTGAGCGAGGCACTACAGCCGGTGCCCCAAGGTGCTCCTGGAGAGCTTTTCATTGCTGGACCTGGCGTTAGTGCTGGCTATCTCAACCTGCCGGAACAGACCGAGAAGAAGTTCTTGCCGAATCCATTTGTCCAAGCACAAGAGTCGCCAATGTATGCAACCATGTATCGGACAGGCGACAAGATGCGCCAGCTAGCGGATGGCAGAATCCAGCCCATGGGTCGTCGGGATGATCAAGTCAAGCTCCGCGGCATCCGAATTGAGCTGAGTGAGATTCAACAAGTCATGGCCACGTGCCCTGACATTGTCGAATGCGCAGTAGTGCCCAAATTCAAGGGTGAGGACAAGACTGGAAACGTTGATTTCCTCGTCGGATACTATACTACAAGCTCGGAGAGCCTCAGCGAGGGCGACATCAAAACATTTCTCGAGAAGCGCTTGCCTCCGGCGTACGTTCCAAGCCGTGTCGTTCTAGTCCCTGGGCGCCTGCCAACCACCATTCAGGGGAAGCTGGATCTTCGCCGCTTACCCGAAGTTGAGAAATTGTCCGAGGAGGTGCCCCGAGAAGCTGCACGCAACGCAACCGAGGCTGAGCTCTGCCGCATATGGGGCGCGTTGCTCGGTAATGAGGTAGGTATCCACGACAATTTCTTCGACGCTGGAGGAGACAGCATCATGTCGATCCAACTCATTCACGATATGAGTCGTGCTGGGATCCACGTTACAGTCAAAGATCTCTTTGCCCACCCCACCGTGGCCCGTATTGCAGAATTCGCCGCCAAAAAGTCAACCAGAAAGGTGAAAAAGATCGAGGCTGAACAAGGCCTGCTCACTGGGGCATTGCCGCTGAGCCCCGTTCAGCAATGGTTTTTCAACAAGCAGTTCACTAAGCAGGACCACTTTAACCAAAGTTTCATCATTCACACTCCACGCCTGGAGGGCGAGACGCTCAACAAAGCCTGGATCGCGCTTCAGGAACGCCATGACGCCCTGAGGCTCTCGTTTGAATTTGGGAACGGCACGATAACCCAGAAGTATCAACAAGAATCAGCAAACCCAAATTTACTGGTGTTCGAGGACAATGACTCGAAACTAGCGGCTAAACTTGACAGGCTGCAGTGTTCGCTGAGTCTCGCAGATGGGCGCGTTGCAGTGATGGCATACATTGCATCTACAAACTCGGAAACTGATACTGTATGGATGGCTCTACACCATCTCGTCACTGATGTGGTGAGCTGGCGTATCATGACTCGGGACTTGCAGAGTCTATACAATGGAAAGAGTCTTTCGGCCAAGTCAAGCAGTCTTCGACAGTGGAACACGGCACTTCAGCAGTATTCTCCGACCATGGCAGAAGAAGCGTACTGGCGAGAGGTGCACGAGATTTGCCAGCAGGAAGTGCTTGATGCTGAAAACAATGAGCTGAGTGGTGCCTCCATCCAGCTCTCGGAGGTGAATACCAAGCTTCTGTCGCGTTCCGGTCCCAGAGTGCTCGGCAGCAGCACCTTGGCAATCCTCCTCACGAGCGTCAGCCGTGCTCTCACTTCATGGCACGGGTCTAATCTGCCCGTCACCCTCGAAGGTATCGGTCGTCAGGATCTCTCGTCCACCTTGGACGTAAACAATACGGTTGGGTGGTTTACGACCATGTACCCATTTGTGGCGCCGACCACTGAAGACCTTGCTTCGCACGTGTCGGTAGTCACTAGAGCCATCAAAGATGTGCCTCGCAAAGGTTTCGGTTACGGAATCTTGCACGGATACGACAATATCCCGGGCGTCACTTTCAACTACCTTGGCCAAGTCGAGAACCACGCCGTGGCTGGGAATGCATGGCGGCTGGGAGCGACTTCGGGCTCGCAATGGGGAAGGAACTTTGCTGAAGAAGACAGCCACTTGGTGGCCGGTTCCCTGACTTTGACCGCCAGGATCGAGAACCGGGTCTTGCATTTCGATATTGCCGGCTTTGTCGGTGATGAGCGTGCCCAATTTTTGCAGCAAGCTATCTCGTATGCTCTTGATGAGATCGTGGATCTTATCCTGGAGAAGGTTACTGCATTGGACAATGGAGTCCAGGTATTGACAGAGGAAAATGACATGGTTGAGGAAGAGAAAGCCGGGGAGCCAACTGCGGCCGACAAATTCATTCCTTTCTTCCACTTTGACGAAGCCCCACGCCAAGGGCCAACGGTCTTCTTGCTGCCGCCCGGCGATGGCGGTGCCGAGTCCTACTTCAACAACATCGTCGCACAACTTGACGAGCCAAGACTCGTGACATTCAACAACTATCCCCTAGCACACCCAGAGGCAGCCGCCGAGGAGACTTTTGAGACGCTGGCGCAACGCTACATAGGCTGGCTGCGTGAGATTCAACCTCAAGGGCCTTACCACCTCTTCGGCTGGTGCTTTGGGGGCGTTCTAGCCTTTGAAATCTGTCGCCAGCTGACCGAGGCCGGTGAGACAGTCGCTTCGCTCTCTCTGGTGAATTCATTCCTCAATCTTCAGCACAACGCTCGTGCAAGCGGTCTGGACGAGGAGAGCACCATCAGCAAGCTAGGCATGCATCCCATCAACTGGAGGTATCAGCCGGCGCCCATGGATCCTCAAATTCTGCAGGATCGTTTGGGACACGTCAATTTGTTCAAGGCCGGTGCGTTCCATGACCCAGATCGAGAGCACTTGGGCATCCACGATCTTTACAAGGACATTCCGCTGAATGGTCTGGATGCTTTCTTGCCTCCATCGAAGATTGACAAGGTCGTCATGGATGGTAAGACACATTACAGTTGGATCAAGGACAAGAAAACCGTTGGGACCATCGTAGACATTATTCGGAGCTGTTTGTAAGAGGGGGTGAAGGAAAAAGGAAAGGGGGAGAGAGGAAGAGAGAAGCAGAGAAAATCGGGAACGCGAGAGAAAGTGGAAGGTTGTTTTGATTATGCGCTTCTTCTTAGAACACAGAAGGGAGAGTAAAGTGAGAGGCGTCAGATGGAGTAGTCTACAGGATAACGGAGATGGGCTAGATTCTTATATACAATTGTAATAATAAATAATAATGAAACATGAAAGACAGTTCAAGGTTCAAAATGCCCATACGTATCAAATGGTGGAAGTAATCATGATGTGTTTCATAAAGTTAGTTCGACCTTGTGCATTGGTGATGCAAAGCAGCCCCGCCTGAGCTTTTCCACCGCCACACTTGTGGCTCACCCAAGGTCCTGGACCGTTCTTTCCGACACCTCACAAAGCCCCAGGCCTTGGGCGGATTCTACCCACTGTCAGTCCCTCGGATCCCCAACTCAGCGACCAACCTCCCGCCGAACCTTCCCATTGTCACCTTGCCGCCGGTGCCATCGGCAGTCACTTTGTATTGCAACGAGATAAGCCTGCACCTGAATCATGATGGCGATTGCAGCGATGCCATCTAGGCAGAAAATCCTTCTTCTTCTCGGGTTATCAGGCCCTAGCTGAGGATGATCCTCAACCAGCAAGAATAATGCAAACTGTCCCGTAAGGCCGACCACAAATCGCCGCAACAATGAACCACCACCGACACCTCAACCGTGCTCGGGCACATCTACCTCCGTCGACTTGTATCCAGAGTACTGTCTTCGAAAGCGAGCCTCGCCACCACGGCTGAGGATATTTCGACGTCGCGCTTGTAAACCTGTCCTGTTTGTGGATTTGACCGACATTCAGCACTGCAACCCACCCCTTTACGCAGAATATGCCAGGACAGCCAGGTGCAGTCAATAGCAAGTCCATCTATACTCGATCATGATACATCGTATCCTATCGACCGCTTGACCCCCCGATTCAGCAAGACGGGGTAACATGTTGCGATTGCCATGCTGTTTGGCCTGAAAGAACGTCAATCAAACACGGCCTATCCTCCTGTCCATTAGTTGCACTCGGCCAACTCCTGTATTTGCTTCCCCAAGCAAAGTACAGTAGCATGCTACGTGCAACTCATCAGTATTATCTTTTCCGGCGCCGCAATACACGGCTTATTTACGTCGTCTCATATGCAAGGGATTTACTGGCGGCTTGCGCAATAGGGCTCGGATCTCACCTGCCTGCCTACCATCGCTCTACTGTTGATATGAGCAAGCAGAACCACTTGTGAATATGTCAGGTCTTGTGGGGTATAGACACTCTAACCACCCTTACCAACCACTCGTCTTGCTTAGATCAACCCATCGACTACTGGGATGTTGCGATATGCGCATACATAAGCTGTTTGCAGTATTTCGGCTGCTATCTTCATGGGCAACGCTAGTTGTTGTTTTTCTGCGCAAAACTACGCTGTTGGGTATGTGGAAACAAAGACAGCAATTGTGCCTGCTAGGGTGGCCCTGTTGTCTTTGATCTCAAGGCACATCCATTACTCTTGGACTACGATATATGGCTGTCACTCTTCATTGATCGATCATGCTGGGAGATGTAAACGTGTTTCGGGGAGGCTGCGCAGACTGCCAAAGACTGGTCATCCATCAAGGTGGATTGTCTATTTGCATTGATTTCGGGAAACGTGGAGGGGTAATAACTCCACGCAATCCTGTTCCGGGTGCAGTGGGACTTTGAGCTTCTAGCAGCTCTCGCGGTCTAGTAGTTCGAAAATTGCGGGTGAGCAGGCATTGGGGATTGGTGGTGCTGGAGGATAGGCCAGGTTGCATAAAAGCGCCTCGTAGATAGCTTCTTTGTGCTTCTGCTTGACTCGTCATCGTCACTATGCCTTGTCGAGGCTGAGGAGACTATGGATCTGCTTGGGGGTGCCCTTAGGCCTATTTGTCCCGTCTACAAATACCGGAGGCTTCCCTGGATCAAGAGGCTCGAGTACTGCTCTTGCATATTGATGAGCAGACTCTGAGCTGTATACTTGCGTCAAAAAGGGTTCCCGAAATTACGACCGCAAACCGATCCTTTTTTTCTCTGGAATTCTGCTCAGAGAGGGAAGAAGCAACAAGCTCTAATCGCTCGGCCGCCACGCCGAGTCCTGAGCCATCCTTCAGGCTGGTTTCTGCTCTACTCGTTCTGTGTGGAGCTAGCGGGAGTGGCCCACAGACCACCGACCGCGCCCGCGCCTGAGCCTGGGCAATTCAGCAACCAAAAAATCACACGAGTCACCTGCGTTGCGACAGCTCCCGTTACTGCTCCTCGACCACCAAATCTACAGACGAACAGCTGTTGAGACGGATTATCTGCTATCTGCTACGGGCCCAGCATCATCGACTTCAGGCAACAATAGGCATTCAGACGCCGCTCGTTGGGACATCAATTTCCGGCAGCTGCAGGCATGGGAGCCGCACCCATGTCGCTCGGCTAAGTTTCCGTCTTTGCTCGCTGGCACTAAAAATCCGCTGCACTGCAACGAGTGAGCTCTCTCCAATATGGACGTCGCCGACAGAGACCCGGACCCTCGATCAGGTCCTACACACCACCACAAAGCGTCATTTCCGCCGAGATATCGCCCACATCACCAACGGCGCCCAGACGAGCATGCTCGAGATGTTGTCATGAATCGCAGCGACGAACAACAAAGAGATCGGGGCCGGTCTGAACGCGAGCCTCGAGCTCCGCACGAAAGTGCACACGATAGGACACGCTCCATCTCTCCAGCCCCGAGGCGACCAGGTGCCTTCCGGGACCGTGATTTTCCACGCGACGGGTGGCGCGACGATTTTCGTGACAGAGACGACATACCCAAAGGCCCCCGCCACAGGTCGCGTTCCCCAGGCTCGCCCAGCAAGAGGCGAAGAAGCCCCAGTCCCGGACCACACCGCAGCCTCAAGAAGTCAAAGCGCGAGAGGGAGCGGGAGAAGCGACGGGCGAGAAGAGCCCGCCATCGGAATTCATCTGCCCATCGACGGTCTCGCTCACCATACGACGGCTATCATCGTTCGGACAGGCCTGGTCCCTCGGGCGGGCAGCACACAGAACGACGCAGCCAGTCGCCTCACTTTTCCCGTCAGGCTGGCGCCGAGAGGGGCACATCACCCTATGCACGATCCCGCCGGAACTCGTTGACGAGTAATCGTGACCGTGACCGTGACCGATCACCGAGAGCGGAATCTCGTCATTCGCAAATGTCTCGTGCTCATTCCCCCCTCCCACCTAATCACTCTGAGGCGGGTTCGTACTCCCGTCGCTCAACTTCTCCAACGCACGAGCCTGCCGCCTTTCACCGCCCACCTCGCTCTCCGCGAATGGACCGACCGCCTCCGACAGGACCATCGGCTTCTCGCAAGAAGAAACGTCGAGATAGGGAAGATCCTCGCAGTGGCAAGCGAGGAGGACAGCCTTCATCCGGGGCTAATAGTATCGAGGTGAACACAAGTCGAAGAGGCGATCCACGGGGTGGTTTTGGTTCACAACCTCCGCCTTTCGCCTCGAGACGTGAGCCGCGTCGTAGTCAATCGCCACCATACAATGCCTTTGATACCTCCCGTCACGGTTCGCCAGATCCTCGGTCACCCCGTAGCCCATCAGGCCAGACGGATAGACGGAGCTATGAGCATCCATCGCCCCGAGATGCACCATCAGGTCCTCGGCAGGCCAATTTATCACCACTCCAACCCCCAACAGGTCCTTCCCAAGCTGGACGCGGTTTCTCGAGAAGCGGCTTCCGAGGTGGCAGCTTCAGCTCAGCACGTTCTGAAAGCCGAGGCAGTTTCAATCCACCATCAGGTCCTGCTGCTGGCAGGACAAACAACAATCACTCTGACGAAACCACGCCTGAGCCATCCTCGGCAATAATCCATTCGGTTTTTGCAGGAAATGTCAAGACTGACAACCTCGATGAAAATTACAATGTTCAAAGTAGAGAATTGCACAACGACGACTCCCAAGCAGATGAGAATGACAGAGAACAGGAACCTCAGAGCCAACCAGTTGCACCAGGCCCACCGGCTACTACACCCACTGGGCCCAGGATAAGCTTCTCGCTTAAGGCAACTTCAAAGGCCCCTGTTACTGCCCCCAAACCGGAGATCTCCCAGAAGTTTAGCGCACCTGCTCCGAGGAGAGATCCGCAACCGGTAGATGATCGAAGTAACAGAGATCGCGATCTCCCCAAAGATACGCCGACAGGGCCATCGTCGTCTAGAGCACGACATGAACCTGATCATCATAGTAGACACCGGGCACCTGAACCTCCGAGGGGCCCACGGCAGCCCGAGTCATCGCGGGGTCCACGACATCCCGAGCCCTCCAGAGGCCCACGAGAGCATGATCCTGCCAGAGGCCCGCGACATCCTGAGCCCCCTAGGGGTCCTCGGCAGCCGCGTATGCGAAAAGTCAAGAAGATTGAACGGCGGCTGAAGCCCAAGCCAAGGCTTCCCGAAAACCTGGCCAAGTCCGAGTCCCCATTTTTCAGAAAGCCTGGCAACGAGTCAGTAGTGGGATCTGGTACTTATGGCAAGGTGTTCAAAGGAAAACATGTTTACACTGGAAGGCTCGTCGCCTTGAAAAAGATACGGATGGAAGGCGAGAAAGATGGATTCCCAGTCACGGCAGTGCGCGAGATCAAGCTGCTGCAATCATTACGTCATGACAATATTGTCGCTTTACAGGAGGTCATGATCGAGAAGGATGCCTGCTATATGGTATTTGAGTATCTTTCTCACGATTTGACCGGTCTTCTGAACCATCCGTCTTTTATTCTGGATGCAGCTCAGAAAAAGCACCTCGCCAAGCAACTTTTTGATGGTTTAGACTACTTGCACGCCCGAGGGGTTCTGCATCGAGACATCAAGGCTGCGAATATCCTTGTGAGCAGCGACGGAATACTAAAGCTTGCGGATTTCGGTCTGGCGCGATTCTACACGAAACATCACCGGAACGACTACACAAACCGTGTCATCACGATATGGTACAGATCTCCAGAGCTACTGCTAGGCGAAACCCAGTACACTGCAGCTGTTGATGTTTGGAGCGCAGCATGTGTTATGGTCGAGATCTTTACGCGCCATGCCATCTTTCCCGGCGACGGAACGGAAATCAACCAGCTCGACCGGATATATGCCATCATGGGTACGCCCAACAAGTCGGAGTGGCCTGACCTCACCAAGATGGAGTGGTTCGAGCTTCTCCGACCTGGGTATCGCAAGCCTAGTGTTTTTGCTGAAAGGTACAAGGAAAAAGTACCAGTCGCGGCATTCGATCTCTTGGCCTCCATGTTCCAATACGATCCAGCCAAGAGACCATCTGCCGCTGAGGTTTTGGCACATCCTTATTTCACTTCGGAGATGCCTCCGCCACGACAAGCCGTCGAGTAAGTTGCACGAATCAAACAAACTTGCGAAACACACACTAACCATTTTTAGACTCGCCGATATTCAAGGCGAATGGCACGAGTTCGAGTCCAAGGCACTCCGTAAGGAAAAGGAAAAGAAGGAGCGCCAGGAACGTCAGGAGCGAGAGGCTCGGCGCGCGGCGCAGGCCAAAGAGGCAGCCAAATCTGAGCGCGATGCTATACCGCGAGACAATGAGAGGAAGCGGCCGGTCCCGTCGCCAGACAATCGGGATACTAAGAGGCTTCATGTGGAAGAGCAACCATCATCTTCAGACAAACCGGCAGACGTTGCATAGTTTTATGCCTTTGGCCAATCAGACTCTGAAGAGTGATGTAGACGACTAGGCCTTCTAGGTGTTGACATGTAATGGCAAGCGAGTTGTATGCTTGATAGACCAAAAGTGATATACCATAATATTATGACACGCTGATCCCTGGCCATATCTATCACATGGTACATTGCCCAAGTCTCGCATGTCAATTATCGTATGCATCCTTGCTGGCATGGTAGCTAAATATGTTTTATGCTCTTTCGATTTTGGTTGGGCTATCTGCGCGTTCACTGTTCTACGGTTTCATCTGTTCATGAAAACTGTCAGCAACAGAACAAGTCTGGGGTATCCAATTGCCTTTGGGTGTCAACGGGAAACGCTCAGTACAACAATGACAATAGGCCTCAGCGGCATGGCCTCAGAATACGAAAGTACTCATCACAGCGATAGATCCGGATAGTTTGAAAGGGAATGACAAATAGAATATGTATCTTACTTTTTAACGTAGAGCTTTACTCACTGCACGGCCGAGACAAGGTGATGCTGCCGCCAGTCCCAGATTCATCTATTTTTTGAAACGTCAGCCACCGAATAGGATCAAAGCAACCAGACGTTTGGAATGAGATGAATTTTCGAGTGCTCAGTGTGGGTGCAAGTTGATAGTCATCAGCAGCGTCATTGACGCCAACTTCAAACTCCGCGCATTGGTCATCATGGCAAGGGTAAACGGATAGAGATTTCTATGCGTCAAGTGGAGCAAACCAAATGAAGAATCAAGCTTACCATGTGCCCCCAAGAAATCGTGTCGAATCGTCTGACGACTACTCCGCCCCAAGTTCTCCTGTTTTGTGCCAAATGTTAGCTACCAGCATATGATTGATGCAATGCGATTTGGGAGTGGAAATAGATTTCAAGTGCTCAGTCCGAGTATACTGTTGTAGGTCATCATCAAAGTGTCACAAGGCACCGCCTCTCTGAATCCCATTTCTCTGTCATCATGGCCAATGTAAATGGATGTGGGGTAGTTTCCATATATATACACAAATGAAGGGAAGAAAAGAAAGGATATTGATGAGCTTACCAAGCATCTAGGATGACCTTTTGTTTTTTCCTTTTTTTGTTTTTTTTTTGTTTTTTTTTGTCAAATTATCCGTTTGGGTGTTTAACCAATAACCGAATCTAATTCCTCATGTGTCAAAGTGTCAGCTGCCAGAGGTCATAACGAAATCAAATCCGATTTGGTGCAAGGTTGGGAATGCGGCTTCTCAGTACACGGTTGCATATGTCTATCAGCAGCAGTGCCCATATGGGTTTACTTCAAAGTAGGTTTTTCATCATCGCCAGGGTATATATGTAAGAATTGGAAAGGGACAAGAGGATAGCTTACCACGTGCCTAGATAATGGCTCGAGCTGAAAGGGAGGTTCATGCTGTATTTTGAAGACTGGCGGACTAGGTTTATCTGTTATCAAAGGAGCCAATGTTAGCTTTCTTGAATGACAAGGCAACAGCTTGTGGTCTGCAGCAATCAATATTTGTCGTGGCTCAGAAGAATTCCCAGATCATCAGCAAGTAGCGCGGTGTGCGCTCCTTTGATCAGCAAGCTCAGCAGGTCAGGTCATCACAGCCCAAATAATGTGGTCATCTTTGAAAAGAGAAAAGAAAACAAGTAAAGAATGTGTGAGCTTACCGCAACGGATATTGGCAAGTCCTTTGAGAAGCGATTCTTTGAGCCTTCTTGTCGTTGGGAGGTTGCGGATGCTTGGTATGCTCGGGAGAAGGGATCATATCGGCGGCTGGTTATCTGTGAAGAAGGCTTAATTTGTTAGCTTCTGCCTCCTATAACAAAGCTTGAGTAAACCGTCAATGGAGGGTCATGGCTCAGTACACGGATGAGCATATTTTGTCAGCAAATAGCGCGTCGTGCGCTTCTTTCAGCAGACCAAACAAACCAGTTCATCACAGCCAGATTATTTGTCTTTGTCCTAAAACAATAGGAAGAAAGATGTAAACTTACTGTGGCTAGTATCTGCGGTTCTCTTGCGCAATCTTTTGTCGTCTTGTTTTCATTATTAGGGTGGCTAGAGAGGCATGATACACTCTCAGGGAGGAATTCGGCAGGCTCGTTCGTCTGTGAAAAGAAAAGTCTCGTTTGTTAGCTACTTCATGGCATGACAAAGATTTAATTGAATAATGAGTAGATGTTGGTGGCTCAGAAGAATTGCCAAAATAAATCACAGGCACTGCTGTAATAGTGCGTTCTCATTCCTCATCTGATGTATCTGATCATCATGGCTAGAAAGACGGGTGGTCTACGTGGATGGGGGAAGAGGAAACCTTTCCTACCATGCCTTGAATTTGTTTGCTGAGTGGTTACAGGCGGAGTTTCTTTGATTGCGGGTTGGTGAAACAAGCCTCGGGCGACGCGAGATTGTCCTGTTGTAGTCGAATGTTAGTTATCTGAATACGACAAAGGTATAAACTGGTTTAGGGCACTATATCCTGAGGCTCAGAGAAAATAGGTAATCAATAAAGCTCGGTCTAGTGAGCAGTTTCATTCCAATCACCACTGTTCGTCATCATAGCCAAAGACGTGATGTTTGTCGTTGAGAGAAGTTGCGAAAAGCGTGATCAAACTTACCATTAGTTGTGGCCGACGATCGTTGAAATTATTGTTACGATGTGGTATGATAACAGCATGCTTGCCTGGCTTGTCCATTGTTAGTGGATGGTTGAAAGAAAGTATCAAGTCTTGAATGATGTTTGTTGGAAGCTCAGTTCAAGGAACACAGTGTTCAGTCAGCGGTTGTGCGCGGGGCGCAACCTCAAGAATACACAAGCACTGCTCATCATGGCCAGGCACGAAGACAATCGTGCAGAATGAGGAGAATGGATGGACTTACCACGCGATGTGCATATGTTCAAGATGCTTTGTCAAAAGGACTGAATCACATATCAAGTAAATGTAAGAGTAGTCGGCGAGGTATATGGTCAAGGTCTGGTAATAGAACAAGTGTTGATAAAGGGAATGGGAATGGGAATGGAAGAGGTGTGTGGTGAAAGAATGTTTGGAAAGATTAAAGATGTATGGAACTCTGCCTGGACTTATACTTAATTTTCTGGCCTCCTGGCAGCTGGCTGATTTGCGCGCGGCGCGAGACAGCCGGGCACGGCGCCGGTGTTGTGGGTCCACTGGGCAAACGCCGCGGGCGGTGAGAAGTGATTGCGGCGCTGGTGGAGGGCGGCGGCTAGTATTACTGCCCAGGCAGCCGCCGCCCTCTTTTCTGCCACTCTCTGGGCCAGGGGCAGGCTCTTTGTTGGGTTACGAGGGCACCGACTGGGCCAGCTGGCGCTTGACCACGTCTAGAGATTCTATGCCGCACAAGGAGTGATTTATCTTGTCAAGTGTTGTGTGCCATTCTCTGTCTTTTCTTTCAGACTAGGTATCTATCAAGTCTTTTCTATGGATGATAATTTCTTCTCTTCTTTTCCATGATGCAAAGTTACTTGAAACGTGCTTCCGCAAGCAATTAGTTAAACCTGGGTAGACAGAACTCTGCTGGGTTGAATATTGATGTGAAGGACAGCAGAGCTGAGTTGTACACATCTAATTACTGAGACTCTACTATCAGACACTGGTACCAACCAATCTTTTGAACTCCATCAACTGAGTGACTTGTTTGACACAAAACCATTTTCGTTTTTAGCTGCTCGTGACCAAGTGCCAGAACTCTTGTCCGTCTGGAAGCGACAAACTGCCAACAGATGTTAATTTTTCAGCAATGCGAAATCAAATTTTCACCAGTGATCACAATGGTCATCATTGGCAAGTGCTCTCGTGTCTCTTGATTACCATTTCGCATTCTTCTTTCCACTCTTGCACCTCTTGTAGTCACGGAGAAGGCAGCATGATGCTGGCATCTCTGCCCACTCCAGCTGTGTTGATGTTGGGCGCCACTCGTCATGACTCAGTCATCTTGGAGGCTTAGCAAACGACTCGAAAGCTCAACAGGCTGGTGTAAAATTGAACATTGGCCCTCCTTGAACTCTTTTCTCTTCATATATCCGTGTGGCTCGTCTTTGTTATAGTTCAGAGAGAGCTCGAGTATGTAAGGATGGCTAAATACGTTCAATTGGTAGCAGTAAATAGCAAGGACAAACGAACGACCTCCAGAACCAGTTTCCAATTTGCTGGAAAACCACTGCGCTCAATTGTATTTTGACATGTGGGAAGTACTCTCCTCTACCTTCGTTCTGTTGTACGCACTATGTCAACGATGTATGGTGAAGCTGTCACACACAGAACCCCGAGACCACTGGCGGGGTGTGTTGAAAGTTTAGAGCTTGAATTTCCAGCAGATTGTTCACCACAGTTGAACATGGCGTGACAATGATGATCCACATCGATATTTTACCTGACTAGATATGTAAATGTGATGTTGGGTGGAGATACTTGCTTCGATGTAGCGGGATTGGTAACGAGCTTCGAGTCGGTACGTTTGTCAAACCACTTGAAGGTTCATACTCATTCGCAGAGCCGCATTCCCAACTTGAGCTTCGTGACTGGGACTGCGAATGCATGCTGACGCGATAATAATGGTAGCAAATTCCTATTATCAAGTGATAGAGTCTTGCATCTTGAGGACCACCAGGACTTCTTTTAGTGGGCGAATTAGTACTGACCGAAAGAGAGCACCATTGACAGCCTCGCTTAAGTATCATGCCCCTCTGCAATTAGTTGCGTTTGGAGTGGGCTCGATCTACTGTAATCATGCTTCATATAACTACATGAACAGCTCGTTTCGCACACGTGGGTGGAAATTGATCATCAATATGGCCTCATTAACAGTCAAAACCCACAATCGTGGGGCATATCTAAATAGATTGAGTTGTCTTTTTGCTGTTATTAAGAATGTATGGTGCCCACGTGAGCTCGCTGACGACATGTCTCTGGTCTGTCCTATGGTCAAAGCCACATTCACATCTTAGCTCTCATCCATAGAGGAATTGTCCAAGAGGCGCGAGCTCATCTTGGTCTCTGTATTCCAGTTTGCTACGATCAGTTCTGTCCGTCGTTGCGCAAAGTCCGTTATCCATTCGTTTCTGCAAACGCCCTTCTGAGTCAACCGTTTCCCGACCGTCTCTATTCTGTCTCAGGCTTTTACCCGCCGCCCAACTGCCGGTAAGCTCCTGCCCTGTTCTGATTGACATATCATCTATCTCGGAGAAAAGGATCTCATTATTGGGTGTGGCACTTGTGGCTGCCGCTGGGTCAGATGGCTCAAAAACATGCTTGCTTCTCCCCAGGTCCCTATCGCGGGACCTCGTGTCGACAACGTGCAAACAGCAATATCCCCTTTAGGCATTTACCAAAGTGCTTCTCCTATAGCTTTCCGCCTTTTTCCTCTTGATGAGATCATGTTGCATTTCCTGCTTTGGGATTGAAGAAGAGACATTGCCATGGAAGCTCTCAAGAACTAATTTGCAAATCTGCAGTGGCAGTCGGCGGAGGGATTGACGCGCACGGCCCAGTTACTTGTATCATTCAAACACAACCTATCAATTGCAATTTGCCCACCAGAAACCTCGACATTGTGTCAACTCGAGTACCAGCACCAAGAGTCTTCTGGCCATGTCATTTTTGATTGAAGGACACCATCCTTTGAGGTATGTAAATTAATAGGCTAGCTGTCAAAGCCTCTAGACGGTACCTTGCATACTGTGTGTATGTCTACCCATGTCAAACCCTCACCGGGATAAGAAAGGTGGTCCAGCAACCTTTTTTTTCTTTCTTACTCGTCCCTCTGCCGCCACAAATCGGAATGCATTCGCGTTCCCTCAAAAGCCACACGTCCGGCTAAGGATTTTACAAGAAGAAGCGAAATGGTCCACCAGATTCCCAGGGGGGTTGTTCCTGCTCGGGAGCCACATGACGCCTTCCGCTGCTTGCCAAGGCCTACAAGCGCAGCCGCCGGGAACAGCTTCATTTAGGCAAAAACGGGGGGAGAGGTGAGAGGCCCCCAAAAAGAAATGCAAGTGAGCTGCTTACCAGCCTCCCCCCTCACCTCTCCAGCGGCCTCTTACTCAGGCCCGCGGGGAGCTTTGCAGCGGTTCCTTTTCCAACAAGGCGCGGCAATGTAGGCAAAAGCATCTCTGGGGTAATGTAGATCAGATCGTTTCTCTTCCGCTCGCCAGCAAGGAAGGAGGGTTCTGCGAAAAAAGGTGTGGTCATGCGCACGTCTGAGCTCACGGTCAAGGACGATCGGTTTCGGTCTGGGCGGTTCCCAGGAAAACATGATCTCTGGTAAGCTAAGATCTTGGAAGAGTACCAAGGTAGTAAAGCTTTGCTGCCTCGCCCACTGTGATGGCCCGCGCTTCGGCTTGTCTTACCGGCTTGCGCTTTGAGATGACCAGTCAAAGATACCGACTCCCGTGTGCCGTATTGCCATGCTCTCTGGCGGTTTTTCATAGCGCGAGCGCTGAATGTCTCTGCCATCCCACGAGCTGTCTCACGCTTACTCGAGAATAATGTCTCAATTATCCGCGTGTTGCCGGGAGAGGACGCCACAGGTCTCTCTTTACGATATCAGACCGCCAGTAATCTTCGTAGATGACCATGATTGTTATCATTCATGTTCGCATCCAAGTATAATTGGCAGGACAAGATTTGAACAACATCCGTTTCTGCCCTGATGATGCCATCCGCTAGTACTTGCAGGCCCCCGCTGCGTCTGTTGGGTTACCATCTGGGTACAGAGTACGCAGACAGAAAATCATGGCTACTAGGTCAAATCATTTGGAAGGGTTGTCATGTTGCAAACAGCTAGACCTGTTTTGGGAGATACTCCAGGCACAGCGGCGCGATTACTACCCCACGACTCTTATTTGACAGCCATCGGCAGAGCAGATCGCCAAGATCGAAGGATGGACGGGCGGAGAACGGGGGGTCAGATAGTGCGTGTAATTGTTGTCATGCTTGACAGGTTCATCAGGGGTGTGGTCATGTTGTCGGATCTGCATCCAGGGTAGGGTAGGAACAGGGTGAGGGGGGGAAGTTCAAGGTTAGTTAGTAGCAGAGAGAAATGGACAAGTCCACCCGGGCGTCCGTTCCCCAGCGTCGCATTGTGAGCCGGAAGGAAGCTCGAGAAGCGAATGGAGGATGATGCAAGGCCTCGATCAGTCAGTTCACTCCGGGCGATTGGGTTCATCATGCTTGCCTTGCGCACAGTCGTTGAGCTAACCAAGAGACCTTGTTGATCTGCGAGAAGCTCAGCTTGTCCCTTTCAGCGGGAGTGCCCAATCATTGTGGAGTCTCCATGTTACTATGTGTGTAAAGAATTAGCAGGAGCTGATATGTATAATAGACCATATTATAGCCCACGCCCCTCTCTTACGGCCTCATGCATGACACGAGACCCTCCGAACCTTGGTCTCAAAGAGAGGGAGAGAAAATATGGCCCTACCTCGTTGTTCATGGTGGCGCGCCAAAATGGCCCTCCGAGAGTCTAAATTTTCCTGGGGGAACACAGGATTCGAGCGTCTTGAATTTGAAGAGTAGAGACCCTGTGTGTGGGGGGTGCAAATAGACACACTGCATGTCTTTCATATCATGCAAGGAATGGGCTTAAAACTGCTGTTATGAGCCCCGGCCATGGAAGTTCATCCTTGCAGTCATCACGTCTGAAGACGTCAACCTCCTGGATCCCCACATGAACGCAATATATTGTGCTCAAGTGGCTGATGATGATTGTGGAAAAAATACTGAGATGTCGATTGTGTGACCAAGATGCCCGCTTATGTATACTTTCTAGTATTCAACTGCCTTGACCATGTCTGTTGGTGCGGCGCACAAAAGTAGTGTATATTGAACCTTCTACGTCGGCGCTAGATCTAGCCATTGTTACTGAACGGCTCGCAACAATTTGTTTTTGAAAGAAATATTCATGATAACATAAAAATTCCTGTTCTTCTTTCTAGTGTCATTCGTGCCCCAGTACTTGCGTCTCAAAAGCAAGCCGACATGTTCGAGTTCGCACAAAGGGACGTCCAATGGATGCTCCAAACTCCAGGATCATTTGCGGCAGGTTGCTTGGATCCCAAAACTCTGCAGCGTATGTGTATGTTTTGTCTACTGTACTTTTTAAGTGACTAGGCCCTTGGGGCCTTGACTATCCGTACTACGGAGTGGTGAACTTCCGACCACGTTCCACGAAAGCCACTGACCTGTGTCCTTCTGTGCATGTTTTTCTCTACTTCTCTCCTACAGCGCCCCCAAGGTCTACGCCCCTGGCCATCGTGTGATACGAATCAAAAGCAAAAAACGCTCAAGTAAAACAATAATAAGAAACACTGCTAGTGTAATTTTCTTTTTTTCTTCAATGTGGATGGGAAAATGGGGTTCGTGATCACGACATACCACAGTTCAGTGAACCCACGTATAACAGGAGAAAAAAAAACCCCTTGCCCTGTGAACGCCACGCTACACGGCATGCTGTTGTACAGACATGGAAAAGGCAATGCCTGCGACAAAAGACCGTGGTTCATTAGACAGACTTGCTATTAACCAACTTTGCAGTAATCTCCTCCCCTGGTCGCCTCAATAAACAGTGTATGCTTTTTTTCATTCTTTCTTTAGAACACCGTCAGTATCATGTTCCTTTGCTTTCCTGTAAAGTACTTGAGGCGAAGAGCCACAAGGAATGTGTTGGAGTGGCGCTTCTACGATAACGAGCAGATGGAGTGGAGAAACAAGAGGCGAGATACTTTACAGTTTTTGACCATGATGACAGCTTCAGAAATGGCCATCACTGAATTGTGCAACAAGACATGTTGCACATTATTGCAATTGTTATTGTACCCGCAAATTTGCCAGAGGTCGCATTAAGCTATTCAAGCTTAACTGTAATAAGCATTATCCCGGAGAATTCTGTCATTGAAAGATATGCCATGTCCTCTGGGGGCACAGGCATGGGAGTTATATCGGGGTCGTATTCCGGAGTGTGACGTTAATATAATCATGGGCTGGGCGTTGGCCGGGTTCGTCTCTTTGATGGCAGCATGTCACGACCTGCTCAAACAGGTCTGGTCCCTGGTATTGTTATCTTGACTGCCTTGGGTTATGTCGTGATGCCAAGCATCAATGTGATTCTTGTTCAGAAGATATGCCAATTATAATTTCAAATACTCAGAGGTCTCTACTGAAGCAGCAGTACCATTGATATTATACAGGGGTATTCACGAATGAGACAGTGCACACTATGAGGACGATGTGTTTTGGGTTTATGTTCGTAGATTTATACAGACATCAGAATTTTTGAGTGATTCTGATGAGTTGTTTTGTTTCTATGTACTAAAATCGGCCCTTGCTGAGTCCACATCCGAAGACATAACAAGGTGAATCAAAGCCCGACAACACAATGTTGTTATTTCGCCACCAAAGCGCCTGGTCTTTTTTCAAATGAAGAAAATTCGTGACCGCATTATTCAACCCCTGAATAATTATCCAAACAACAAAAAAGTCCAACTCCGAAAACTCCCTCACGCTTTCCAGCATTGCCGCTCCGTGATGCGAACCAAGGAAAAAAGTATTTGCCACAATCTGAGTTGTACCGCCCCTGAAGAATGGAAAGTCTATATATACAAATCAAGACAATGTTGTTAAAAAAAATGCATTGCTTGGAACAAGATAAGTGTCGAGGAGAAACGGAATTCTCGGCTAGGACAAAGTAAATGTAAACGCGTTGATCTACGCTTCATTGGCGAATGAGGATTGCAAATGATGGCTGGTCCTCACTCATGCCGTGTGAGAGAAAGCTTGCGGGGCCGGAGTGTTGCTGAAGCTACGCTTTCGCTTCATGTAGCTGTCATGCGAGTAGTCGTCGGATCTCTCAGAGCTCTGAGACTGGCTCGTGTTCACTGCGTTTCCACCAAATGAATCTCTCATGGGAGTCCTGGTACTAGATCCAGGCATACCACCGTGGAGAGCATGCGAGAAGTCATGAGGGGGAGCAATCGGCGCGCTCATCTGAGGCATCGAATAGTCAGAGAGTCCGGATCGAATACCGGGAGTTCTCGGCTGTGTAAAGTCGACAGGTGCCGTGAGGGGGGCTGACGGGAAGCTAGAGGTATAGGCTGAAGAGTATGGAGTAGCCGAGGTAGCACGAGGGGTGGCGGGTCCATTGCCCTGCAGGCTGTGCGCCGAAGAGACCGATCGGTACTGTTGGGTCCGAAGATCCAGGTTCAGCGGAAGAGTGGCTGTCGCGGCGCGAAGGCGGGAGTTCTGCGGGGGATGCTGAAGCGTAGCGGGTAGGCTCGAGTAGTTGATGTGAGTTGGAGATGACTGCAGGGAACCAGCTACATGGGAATTAGCTTTTCTGTCTTGGCACATTTTGTGAAGGGCAACTTACTGGAATATGATCCGGATTCGTAGTTCATACCACTGTTGGAAGTCGAGCCGCCTTGTTCAGACGGGTACACAGACTGGTGACGGCCTGAAATTGCAGGGCTCGCATTGCCACTCTGATAGCCGTAGTCAATTGCATCGCCTTTCCATGACATGCTTGTCCTCAACGGCGACTGCATGGTATCCGATCTGGATCTCGACATGGTCTCCCGCAGCTGAAGCGGCTGCAGTGGCCGAACCTGCTGTCTAGATTGCATCTGCATACCTCCGTCCAAGCCCGATTGTCTCGCGAAAGGGTTAGATGTACGTGGACCACTGGTCATCGGGCTCGTCAGGTGGCTGGAATAGTATCCTCTGTCGTTGGAAGTCGCCGACATGGGCGAGAGCATGTCCGGGGAGCTTTGGCTGAACCCAATACCTCCAAACGACGGATTCATTCCAGTAGGAGACATGTTTGCATCCCCGTCGCCTCTTCTAATGGTGTCCAGCATCAGAGGCCTGATCATGTGCTCTGCATACGACTGCGTTTGGAAGTCGATATGCGGTGTAATAGGGGGAGTGTTGATGGTGTGGACTGCTCCATATGGGGAGTGGAGAGCTTGAACATTGTCAAAATCGTCAGGAACAGCCCGCATCTTGATCATGCGATCCCGGTCATCAGCTGTGAGGCGCTTGATCTTTGCACGTCTGTTACCCCGTTAGCATTGTTGAGCGTTAGTGTTTATGAGTCTTGGTACTTACCGGTTCTGGAACCAGACCTGGACCTGCCTAGGGCTGAGTCCAGGGATTTCTCTAGAGAGGCGCTCGCGGTGGGCGGCATCAGGATGCGGTTGCTTGGCGAACTCGCTCATGAGAAAACGCGTCTGCTGGTGAGTAAGGCTTGGCCGTGTTAGCAGACTCCAGAGTAGAGTGATCACCATTTAAAAGCTTACCGGAAGCGCTTCATCTTTCTTCTAGCCGCTGTGCGTTCAGCTGCCGTCATCGGACGGCTCGTTTCGCCATCACCATCGCCCTCAATGTCAAGCATGTCCTCATCATCCACAAGATCGTCCTCCTCCTCTTTGCTCATGATTGTGTCGTCGAGTCCACCCTGTTCGTGACCAATTTCTTGGGCTCGGTCGGCCGACGAAGCTGAGCTAGATTCCTTCACATTGGCAGGTCCGACAGGGGCAGTTGACACCGACAGCTCATCCTGGACATTCTCCGTCTTGATCCCGTTTGCCAATGTTTGGGACTCGGACGCCTCACGAGTTGGTGACTCAACTTTCGGGGCGTTCAGCGCCTGGCCATTGCCAGTCTGCGGCTGAGTTCCGGGCGAGCTCACCATGGTCGAGCCAGAGTGATTGGTAGCCTCACCAGTGGTCGCAGCAGTACCAGAAGGGGGAGGGATTGTGCTAGCATTGCTGCTATTTGTGCTCGATGCTTGTTGAAAAGGTTGAGCGAACAAATTGGGCTCCCCAGGAGGAAGGTAGGAATAGTGACCCTGCCACTCAGGTTGTGAAGAAAGCGGGCCCTCGAAGTTCGACATACGTGGGTTCGTGGGCTTGTGTAGTAGGGTCTGGTACTTGCTGGACCAATGGCTTGACTCCGAATCCGGCTGTCTGGTAACAAGCATTGGGAAAAATGTATCGTGAAATACTTGACGTTACTGCGACACGAAAACGGTAGGAACACAGCAGCTCGTGGGACGAGGGCTTCGTATATGAGAGTCGAAGAACAGCGTCTTGGAATAACGAACGTGAGTGTTGTTTTTGTTTTCTTTTTGGAGGAGCCTGGCAAGTCTGTCTAGGATATAGACACCCGTATTGGTTTTGTTTAGAGGCAAAAAATGCTCCTGCTCTGTTTGCACCACAAAATGCCGAGATTCAACAATAGGAAGCCGGCTTTCAGGAAGAAAAATGAGGATGTCGTCAAGTCCTACTGCTTTCCGAGCTCTTCACCTCGTTGTGTAGAAGTGTTGTAAATCAACCTCAAGTCGAAAGTTTTGGAGTAATCGTCCTCAAGACGGCGACTTGTATGTGATCTTTTTTTGTTCCCCTGTGAATAAAGATCGAGACCAGCCCTACAAGTAAAGGTAGACGGGATATAAACCACTGGCGGAAGATATCTCAAAATGGAAGCATGGATAGAATCGAAAAGAAAACGAAGGTGAAGGTAAAGTCAATGAAAAGGGTAGTTGGTAGAAGAAACGAAGGAAGTCGTTGGTGCAGTTGAGCCTCTCTCTAGGGACTCGGGAACCTGATATGTATAATAAGTTGAGAAGCGTTTAAACGATGGTGGCTCCCGGTGGGGTTGATCGCCTCAAGATGCCTGGACTCGACTGACCCAGTTATTATGTATGGGTTCGAGGTTTGGCCTGTGGTTGTAACAAGACGGCATGTCGAGGGGTCCCTTGTTTGTATGGATGGCAGAGGTGGAATTAATACCGGCCAGTATGGCATACCCTGACGGAGAAATGTCCAGGCTGGATCCGAACGAACGACAGGGACTGCACGGATGGTGGATGAACGATCACAAGCCGTCCATGGGTGTTGGGGGTGACTTCGGACGATACGTGACAAGTTTACGGTAGAGATATCGAGCAAGTTTCGAGCTGCCCGTTTTGACGGGGCCCCCAGCGTTGGATCCGAACGGAGCGTACCCAGGTAATAATAAGAGAGATTGTAGGAGACCAGACATTCAGCCACACACACACACACACAGTTTACTTTTGTTCTCTTGCCATGCGGCCACGGCAGTCTTTGTGCACGCATCCTGCGTAGTGTTGTGTGTTATTTTTTTTTTTATGATGGTCATTCTTTTTTTTTTTTTCGTGGTCTCGCGCCAAATCATCACGATTCTTCTCTGATCGTTGGATTGAAGCGCGAGCCGTGATCAAATTCGGAGGATTTTGTAGCAAGCAAAGCTACCTAGTCTGGTCCAGACAACCAAAAGACGGAGGGCATGGCATAGTGCTGAGCTTGTTGATGAGAGAGCCTCCGGCGGATAGTGAGACTTGCGCTATAAGCGACCCGCTGAAAAGAGATCAAAGAGGAGGGGGGATCGATGAAGTTTAGCGGCATTAGTTCTATGTCTTTTAGGTGGGAAGGACCTACTAGGACTTGCCTGAAGGAGAAAAGCTTGCAGAGAGGATATCAAACATCAAAGAACTGCGTTTCCTACACTACCGTGTGCAGACAGCAATGAGGAATGTACCTACCAATCTACCTACCAACAGCACTGCAATGGCTCCTTGGACATTTCTCGCAAGCCAGCGGAGTGTGTTGAAAGCGCGGATAAACGCATGACCGTAACCAAAACTGTGATCGAATTCGACCCAATGAGAGCGTCAAGACCTTCCGCTTGGTTTATGTGGCCCCGCCGTTTCGCCTGTCGGAGTCTGTAAGTAGGCAGGTAGGAGGGTGTGCTTCTATGCATCACGAAACTGCAGACGAGCAACGAGCTTCTCGTCATTGTATGGGAGTGGGGGGGAGTGCATCGAGCGACTGAGAAGCAAGGGTCGCAATGTCTAATGCCTGATCCCGGCGAGCCGGACAGGGAGTAATGGGAAGATCAGCCTCCCTGCCGAAGAGTCGAGAGCCCATGTCAGCAACCGTGGAGGACAAGGTAAGGGAGAAAGACAGAGGGAGTAAGAAAAAAAAAAGTGTACATACAGGGACACGTACGTATCCCTAGGCCATCATAAAATTGTCTAGCAAGGTTCGAGGTCTGAATGTCGGTCGACATCGCGAGAAGAACATTCGTGGGAATTTACTCGACGCCCCATTGCTCATGTTACTCGAGTGGAAGCTCCGCTAGTTGGCCGACGGCAAGCCATGATGAGAAGTACGAGTCCAGACAGTAATGCCTACTACTACCACTTACACAGACATTGAAAGGTCCAACACAATGAGCCAAATACATAAATACCTATGTACAGTAGTCGGCTCGTTGAACAAGGCAGATCCGACGACGGCTCGAGAACTGTAACCTACCTAGATACCTAGTTGCGAACCGACCGCAAACCCCAAACCGAGGACGAGGTGGTGCGTGATGGTGGATGAATGTGCGGGAATGCTAGATCAAGCATGACGCTCAACGAGACGGACTGACAGAATAGGAGACAAGGGGGCCAAAACTAGATTGTGCCTACCGCCTACTTACCTACCTAGCATATGTCATTAGCGACTGGTCTTCAGCGGGACCCCAACCTAGTAACCACAGCATCAGTACTATGGTAGGCTAGGTCATTGGCGCGGGCTCAGAGGGATCATAGGAACGCTCGCCGAATAAGCCGTAGCCTGATTTGTTGGTTCCTATGTTGCCTTTGGTATTGGTAAAAAAACGAGAAAGAAAAAAAAGAGCCTTTTGGGTGTAAGCGGGGCTGGTGCCAGGCTGGACTGTTATGTATGTAGGTTGTGCGTATTCTGTCGATAGTGAAATATACATGTCTGTAGTGTGGTAGCAGTGCAGCAAAGGCTTTGGTAGCTAATGTACACTTTAGTTCGTTGGCATGCCGGCGGCATCAACTAACTGGTTGTACTACTTCTTTTTACCTCTATTACTACCTACTGGTAATTGCAGCGTGATGACTGCCAGCAGAGCCGTTTGCTAAACGGGGGGGCTCGAAAGGGGCAGCGGGTCAAAGTATACTACCATGCTGTCTGTCTACTGATATTACGGTACATTCTGTCAACTGGGTCTAAATGGCGGACTGCAAAGGTTTGGCTGATGGGCTCGCTTCATGATGTGTCATGACGTGTTGTGCTGTTTTGTGCTATGCAGTAAGTACATGTGTATGTATGCATTGCTGGAGGTTTCTTTGGAAAACATGCAGACAAGAAAGAAAAGGAAAAAAAACACCACCAGATGCACGCCTCACAGCGGCAGCAGGATTCATCATTCCCTGCTTCGGCCAAGACTCGAGACCCTACCTAATCGGGCCCAAGCATCAAAGTCTGTGCTTCATGTTGGACGCATCTGCAGCATGGATCCACGCCATGGTTTGTTTCATCAGGGGTTGCGGCGACGACATGGATCATGGTCGGAAAGCGAATCTGTATTCCGCAAACGCCGTGTCCGTTGTGGGCATAGCGAGTGCTTCGGTGCCGCCAAGTAAGTGGCGCCGAGAGCAGGCCGGGACAGCAGCGACAGACAACAAGCAACGGCTAAAGCGACAGCCAGTCTTTTGCTGCTATGCAGTATTTACTCCCTGTAACAACGTTGGAAGTGTGCATAGGTCTGGCTGGTAGCCATGTACAAACAAGATGACCAGGCCGGCAGTCAAGCAGGCAAGTAAGATGATAGAAAGACCATCAGTAATGTGATCGGGACAAAACAAGTCCCGAGTCAGAAGCGGAAGATTACAGCATGTTCTTTTTTTTTTTTTTTTTTTTTTTTTTGAATGTTCTGAGAGTTCCGGGATGCGTTTGTGAGGTGGTGCAGATCCAGCACGGCATGATGTGAACACGAACAGCGCTGTGTGATCCTTGGTAGATCAGAAACGCCTTACGCACTTTAACGTACGCAGCTGAAAACCCCCCACCAAGGATGTGCGAGTATGAGGATCGAGAAGAGAAATTTCACAGAGGCGGCGATTTATTTTTCCCTCTTGAATGTGAATCACGAGAAATCTCAAGATTGTGGTTCGGTGGGTATAGGCACGAGTCCTTCAAGTCTTGATGCAATTTCGCAAGCACAGTTCCTCATGGGGTAAGCCTGGCTGAAGGCTGGGTAACCTGGCAGCTTTAGCCTTTAGTGTTGGCCTAAGATCGCACCACGTTGGTGGATAGCTTCGGGTATCTTTAGCAGGGCGGCCAAAAGGGCCAAGCGAAGCCGACTAGAAAACCCCTAGAACCCTGAAGAGAAGCAATGATGAAGAAGAAGACGTGCCGATAACAAGGCCTACTTGAAAGGGGAAGAAGGAGAAGAAGAAATTAATACGGATACGCAAAGAGAAACTTCATGGCGCAGAAGAAAACTGGGCAACGGCGTCAAACTATGGCTCAGTCTAGTAAAGAGCCCGTTAAGCCCGTTTCCAGCAGAACCGAGCCACTGCTACGATACCAATACTGACGTTTGGTTACTGCATCTGCCCAGTACACAGACTTTCAAGTCCCCGTCGTCACTCCCAGGACTCACGCATGTACATCAAAACTTGGAAGAAGAAAGGATTTCTGAAAAGCAAGAGCCGCGTGTCAAGACAGGCGACGGCTATACCCCCCTTGTAAGCGACATTGGGGAGGCTCAGGAACCATGTCTGTCAGTCATCTAAATAGAATTGCATGTTAGATGTATGCCAGGTCGTCGTTACCTGACGTATGTACAGTGGATGGATCAAGATAACTTTACTTTGTATGCACAGAGTATAGGTGCTCTGGGCGCAGGGTGTACACATGTACGTTGCAAGCCAGAAGACGAGCTTGACGAGCCACCACGAGATTCCAGGAATCCCATCCGCCGCCTGGCCCGTACCTGCATATTACGGTAGCTAGCGCCTACAGGGCACCACTTGGGCGGCTGTCTTAGTGTAGACCACTCACATATGCCTACACAGCTGTGGCTACCCGTCGAGGTTCTTTGGTGATCGACTGCCAGAGGCGATCGCGGGTAAAGACCCCCTCTTTCCCTCCCCCT